GGCCACACAACCCCCAAAATTCACTGTTTGGCTGTTTGTGCTACCTGCTTGGGCGCACCAAGCAGCCACACAACATCCCGGTTTCCTCTCGCCTCCAAGTTTCGCTCAATCTCGCCTCATCTCGCCTCACCTCGCTTCATCTCGCCTCACCTCGCTTCATCTCGCCTCAACTCGCCTCATCTCGCCTCACACCTCGCCTCATCTCGCCTCACCCGCTCGCCTCATCTCGCCTCACCTCGCCTCATCTCGCCGAGGTACACCTCGCCTCATCTCGCCTCATCTCGCCTCACCTCGCCTCATCTCGCCTCATCTCGCCTCATCTCGCCTCATCTCGCCTCATCTCGCCACTCGCCTCATCTCGCCTCATCTCGCCTCACCTCGCCTCATCTCGCCTCATCTCGCCTCATCTCGCCTCACCTCGCCTCATCTCGCCTCATCTCGCCTCATCGCCCCTCACCTCGCCTCACCTCGCCTCATCTCGCCTCATTTCGCCCCACATTTTTTCTTTTCTAGACCACTCCGAGACCGACCCAAGACCGACCCGAGACCCGAGATCGACCCGAGATCGACCCGAGATCGACCCGAGATCGACCCGAGATCGACCCGAGATCGACTCGAGATCGACCCGAGATCGACCCGAGATCGACCCGAGATCGGCACGAGCGATCAACCCAACAATGCCCCAGAGCCCCCTCCGGGGGGACCCCCCCTCACCCCGAGTGTCCGTGTCCTTGGAGCCCTGCAGCTCGTGGCAGCCATGAGGCCCGGCTTCACCCTCTCCACGGGCCTAGGCGCCCACGAGCAAGGCAGCACCGTCTCGGTGGCATCTCGGGCGAGCCGAGATCGCAATCTCGGACCAGACCCAAGAAGCCAAACGTCTCCCTCTCGCCGAGAGGCCCTGGCCCAGCTCGCGCCATCGCCCACACTCGAGCTTTGCAGCGCGCGGGCTCACACTCTACTATAGGCCCCCTCGACGCCCACTTCGAGCTATACTCAGCTAAGGGCCGCACTTGACGCTGTCAGCAGCGCGCGGCGAATCAGTTTGGCGCTTGTGGTGAATCAAATGGGAATCTAGCCCAAGGTCGGAGAGTCGTGTCATAGGAGAGGAGAGAGTGTGGAGATGTTTTGTGCGGGATCAGGCCCGAGTCCCTAGTGTCGCCGGAGCAGTAGCTTTTTTTCGTAACAGGAACAGTTTTTTTTTTTACGTCTTAGACGGGAGGTACTAGTACACAGACTGTGTCTCGCACACAGTACACAGTTGCTCAACGTACAACGTACGCACCGTCGCCAACGCGGCGCTGGCAATGGTTCAGGCCGCCACCCCATCATCCGTGCCGTCGGTCGCCGCCAGCCAGAAGCTCCTTCGTCTTGCGCGCCGACTTCTTGGGGCCGCCGACGTTGGGCGTGTGAGCCCTGACGCGCTTCGTGCTCGGAAGGCCCGGCTCTCGCTCGGCGGTGACGACCGGCGGCAAGTACTTGTAGACAGCAGATTTCTGCGACCTCTTGGCGCCCCTGTCTGTCTGCACGTTCGACAGGCGCTTCTCCCCGGTGGCGGAGAATTGAGGGCAGTATGTTCGATGGGTGAGAATGATGGTGACGCCTCGCTCCGCGCGCGACACCACACGTTGACCAGGTGCAGTCTCGAGGTTCAGCGCGACGCCCTTCATCGCCGCCTGCCGCTTGACCGCCTCAAAAACCTCAACCGTCGTGCCTTCGTTCTCGGGCAGCGTGAGCATCGCGCTCTCGACCAACTCAACAGTGACACCGCTCTTCACCCGCGGCCCGTCTCTAGTCGACTGCGGCGCATAGCCCGGCAGGAAGCGCTTCCAACATGAAGCGACGCTATCACGAGAGCGCCCAATGCCCCGCGCGACGCTCTCATGCACCTCTCCCGCCTCGATCCTCACTCGCACAGCCTCGATCTCCTCAGGCGTCCACCTCGCACCCGCAGGCCTCTTCAATGGCGAGCGCAGCACGACATACTTCCGCCCGCAAAGCTTCGGCCAGCTCGTCTTTCGGAGCCGCGGCCCTTTGGCCGTGCGGGGCGTACCGCGCCGCCTCTCAAACTCGACCAGATAGACATTATCGGGCCGATTTCGCTGCTGCTTTGGCCGGTAGCGCACCGTGCCCACACGCTTGTGCATCTTGATGACGCGCTTGCGGGTCTGCTGCCACATAACCTCGATCGTGTTGCCGTCGAGCATCGCCACGTCGTCCGGCTCAGCTTCGGCGACGACTGCGGCGGCCGGAGCGCCTGGAGCCATGCCTGCCAGAGAGCCGCCACAGGCGGTGCCCCCCCCGAGCGCTTCATTTCTTTTGTTGAAATCCGCACATGAGACATGTGGAGCAACCTCCGTCCTCCTGGGGGGTCGTAGGGGGGGTCCTAGGCGTAAGGGGTCTGGTGGGAAAAACGAGCTTCTCAGGACCGAAGGATTCAGTAAAAACGTTGACTGTACGGTTGATAGAGGAGCTCGATACAAGGTCTATGAACTATGAGCGTATTCGCACGTCCGTGCGACTTTCTGGTGGCAGTTGGCACACATGCGCCGGACACAGATTCTTCCCGAGCGTCGTCGCCGAGCAGGCACTTTGTGGCGCGCGCGTGGACGGGGCTGCCGGGCGGTGTGCGAGCTCGCATCGATACCGTATCGATCACGGATTCACGGTGTATCGCTCTCTTGATGCCGTGTTGCGCGCGAGAAGAGTCGGGTCTTGACGCCGGCCGCCTCACGAGTAAGAACACTGTTCGCTGGTCTTTTGACGCATGTACCTCTGGACGCTCAGCGTTTGCTCGGATTCGCATGCGGTCTTCATGGGCGCACACGCGTGACTCGTGAGCGTGCGCCCATGAAGACGGCGATGAAAAAGGAGCAAACGCGCGAGAGTGAGAGGTACACGTGCACAATCGCGTCACGACGCATCTGGACACTGGACGCCCGAAAAAAGTTCCCACCAGACCCCTTACTAAGGGGGTCCTGCGGGGTCCTGAGAATACTATAGTAATTGGCACTTGTGGCATGTGGATTGTGGAGCAACCCAAAGCAACCCATGTGCGATGCACTAAGATATGTAGCAATGTACTAGTAAGAGAGGTCCCCAGTGTGAGATGCCGGGTTGCAACGCGGCATTTCACCGCTCACCGGGGAGCCGTTACTGTCCACGCGCCCGACTGCCCACGCGGCCCGACTGCGGGGTGCAAAAAGCGAGCACTACCGCAATCATGCGATATGCCGGAAATGAAAGCGAGCACTACCGGAGTGCGCTCCGCTCTCAGAAAACAGTAAACACTAAAAGTGAGACACCTCTCCCCCGGTCGAGTTTTGGGACAGACAGACACTGTCCACGCACACCCACACGCACCGACCCCCATCCCCCCCCCCCCGCCCCCCCGACGCCCGAGTCGAGTTTTTTGGGACAGAGACGACACACACACACACACAAACAGACAGACAAACATACAGTCAATGGGGGAGGAGCTAAGGAACTACGTTCACTAGAAATTATCGAGTCCCAGAGCTTAAGGTACATCGTTCCTCAGTGACCCTCCAGAATGTTCCGACGGGTAAAATCGATCGGTCCGGTCAACAATTGGGCAACACCCCCCATGATTGGTCCTTGATTTCCGAAACCGAGCGGCTTCGAGCAGGACGTTCTCGGTGACTCGGCTGTTAGGAAGGCGCCACAGGAGATCCTTGCGGAAGTGGCGCACCAAACTGCGCATGCGGTGCTCCGCTTCTGGCGAGACTGATGTTGACAGGTTCCGGAGCGCGCTTGCAGCATCACGACGAATCTCTGCTTCGCTGATAGTGGCCACCATCAACTCATATGGCACAAAGCACTGGAAGGGCAAGCCCACGCTCCACATGTGATCTGAGATCAGCAACGGAATCGCGCCGTAGTGAAGCGCGTCGTACAGACGCGGCGAGGTCGGGACGTCTCCACGCACGCAGAGGACGAAACGCACACGAGGTAGCACTGCCGCCACGCTGTACTGTCCATAGCAGGCTACGCCTGCCCCACCTGCTTCGAGATCTTGCGCAGTGCATGGCGGAATGCACGGCGAGGCCTCGCTACGATTTTCTGGTGCTCTACTCCAAGACCAATGCATCTTCGGCACGGGGCGATCGCGCTATTGTTGACGAGCGGGTGATCGCACCGTCGTACAGTGGACGCCTTATCGCGCCACTTGTCGAATTGATGACAGCGTGCTTGCTCGAGCTGCAAGCGGCATGTGTCCCACAGTCCTGTTTATCGCGCGTCTCTTGATGACGGTGTGCCTCGCTACGACTGCGCACGAAACGACTACGTGCACCTGCGTATGAGACGACTGCGTGCTTCAGGTGGCAACCCCATAACGGCGGCTTGCCCGCAAGCTCGGCCGCTTGCCAGACTCCGATGACTCCGAAGGGCCGACTCGACAACAAGAGCGTCGAGCTCCAGGTGGATATCCAACACGAAGCCCGCCTGTGAGCCGACTGACATAGTGAGGCCTGCTGGCGGCCCCACTCCCCCCTCGCAACACGGCTAACCGTGGAAGCGCACACAACAAACTCCGATGAGCCGTGAGTTGCCGACCAGCCGCCAACTCTGCTGTGACCCGGAACCTTGACGACGCAGCAGCCTCGCTGCAGTCGAGCGATGAAGGAAACGCGGCAAAACACAGGTAGTGACGGATAGCCGCAGCGGCGCTGCGGCCGACGCAAAGATTGTTGTCTGCCGAACCGCCGAACCAAACCTTCACGTCTTCGCAGATGCCGCCGAAAGCAAAAAACGACGCGACGATGAACGACGCGCCAAGCGGTGCGGTGACCGTAACCGCGCACAGTCGCTACCAGATGTAAGCACCTAGATGTGCCCGGCCTCCCGTCCACGAGAGACGAGAGGCCGGCGATCGTGACGAGAGTGCGGGACGCCTTTGCTCGCAAACCTTACACGAAGAACACACCCACCTGGACGTGCGGACCCCACATACACACTCATGATGATGTGGGTCCTGGCATGGTGGCTCGGCCTCCAACAGACATGCCAATCAGTGGCGCCATAACGTCGAAGCCAAGATCCGCAGCCCATGCCGCAAACTCTGTCTTATCACTCACGTGTCCGTCATCAGAGACAACAGCGAGACAATCGGAGTCAGCTTCTTGTTAGAGTCAGCAGGCGCTTTGTCATTTGCATCTTTCAACGTGGCTCCTTTTGCTTTGATCATGTTGAGCAGTTCAGTGACCGTCTTGCCTTTAAGATCAAGGCCGGGGTCAAGCTTAAGCGCTTTTTGCGCCACACGGAGACCGTAGATCTCTGACGATGTGGGCGCTTTGCTATCAGTCTTAGGGTAGTACGAAGTATTGGTAGGATCCACCATGGAGCACACGAGGCAAAGCTCCTTGACTGACTTGATTGCCTTGCCAGCAGCCTTGGCAGACGCGAACCATTTGTTAGCTTCACACAAGTCATGCTCACAGGCGTCGCAATTCTTATTACCGGCTCGAGGCCGGCCTTTGATGCCCGGTGTTGTATATTTGTCATCTTTCTTCTCATCGTCTTTGGTTCCTGGTTTACGAGGTTGTCCGCCAACAAACGGCACCAGCGCGCCAGAGGCAGACACTGCATCACCAGCAGGCATATCAATTTGCTTAGCCCTAGAGATGAGCACCTGCACCATCGCATGCCCGAGGGAACTCTGACCAATGGCGATTTTATCTACCAGATGCTGCCGCACGAAAGCGATTTTTGATGCTGCCGATTCGCTCGGCAACAGCGACAGCAACGAGTGATCAGCCAGTGTCTAAGTCATGTCTAAGTACTGGCAGCCGCGACCGAACTCTCCCACTCGTTTGCCGTCAGTCGCAACATTGCCATCTACTGCTGGCCAACGTTCCACAAATTGCGACAGGAATACATCAAGGTGAACTCGCGTGATCGTTTTTGAGCCGTCGAGTGCTTTGAATTCTGTCAGTTTTTTGGTGGCCTCAATCTGATCAGCTATCGGATCCGATTGCGATGTAGTTTTGAGCCACTTGCAAAGCCCATAGCCATATCGCAAGCCGTCCACCATAAATTCTGCCTTCAAGTGCGCCTTGTCCATTGACTCATACGCGCCTTTTAGCGATACCTTCAGGGCGCGCTGGAGAGCGGCGAGGTGGTCTGGTGCTCCGCACCTCCAGGTTACTCAGTGCTCGGCCAGGACGGCAAGCCCCGTGTGTGCAAGGTCGTGAAGCTATCGTGAAGCCCATATATTCTTTTCTTTCCTCTGGGCGCCACCAAATACAGAGGCCGCACAATTTCTTTTCCGGGGAGAATTCTTTGTGGTGTGCCACATTCTTGCCGGGGGGACGCACTCAAAATTCTTTCTTGTTTGCCACACACACGCCCCCTTTGAGGTCACAGCCCCCCCCCCCCCCCCCGCGGCCCACGATTTCTTTTCCTTGTTCGTTTCGGTTCTTGTCACATCATATTTCTTTTTTCCGCGCTCCTGGCGGTGGACGGCAGACAAGATGATGGCAGCTCGCAAGCTATGGCCGGCTCTGCTGGCAGCAGCAGTGCTCGCTGACGGCGGTGGTCAGTGGAGCGCCGCGCAGATGCCGGCGGCGCCGCGCGAGAGCGGTGGCTGGGTGCTCGTCGAGCGAGGGCTGCAGGGCACAGGGGGCGTGCTCAAGGGTGCCGGAGACATCGTCTCCCTAGGAGTCGGCGGCACCTTCCGCCTCGCCGGCTCCTTCGTGCGCTTTCTGGGCTCCGGCATCGAGACGGTCGGCAACGCCGTGGCGGGCGACGCGGCGGCGGTGGGTGACGGCAGGGGCGAGCTGCGCGACGGCGATGCGGGCGGTGCGACGCGGCGGCTCCTGTCTCGGCCGATGAAGGTGGTGTCGGGCGCGGTCAAGTCGGCGGGGGACGGCTTCACGATGCTGGGCGACACGACGGAGCGCATCGCCGGCGAGGCGCTCGGCATCATGCCCGACGCCGTGGACGTAGTGCAGTCGGGGGTGGGAGCGCTGCGGAAGCGAGTGCGCTTCGACGTCAACGAGGACTCGTCCGGGAGCGACTGGCGCTACCTGGCCGCGCTCTCCGCCGAGGCGGGCGGGCGCGCCACGCCGCCACTTCACGAAGGCCCGCACGCCTCCTCGCCGGCTGCCGCTGCCGGCGACGCCTCCGGGGCAGAGGCTGCGCGCTGGGCTGCGGCGGCGGCGGCGGGGCGGGAGCCGGCGGCTGCCGCGGGCGGAGGCGCGATGCCGGAGGGCGGCGGCAGCGTGGAGCGGCTGGTGGGCCCCCGCTCCACGCCACACGCCGCCCTCGCCCTCCTCTGCCTCGCGGCGTGCGCCCGTCTCGCGGCAGCAGGCGCAGCCCCATTCCACTCCTCCTCCCTCCTCTCTCCTCATCCCACTCCTCCTCCCTCCGCTCTCCTCATCCACTCCTCCTCCCTCCTCTCTCCTCTTCCCACTCCTCCTCCTCCTCTCTCCTCCTCCCACTCCTCCTCCCTCCTCTCTCCTCATCCCACTCCTCCTCCCTCCGCTCTCCTCATCCACTCCTCCTCCCTCCTCTCTCCTCTTGCAGTCTCAGCAGCCAGTGAGTCAGTCCCTCACACCCTCACCACCGCCGCCCCGCCGCCCCGCCGCCCCGCCGCGAGACGCGGCAGCGTGGCGGGTGGGGCCGGGCTCACGCCGCCGGTTTGCGCAACCGCAGGCCCGGTCGGCCTCGCGTGCGCTGCTCTCTGCGGCGCCGCGTGCCTCGCGTGCCTGCGCGCCGTCGAGCTGTGAACAGCGTCTCTTCACACCGCCTGCTGTGAGCAGGCGCCGCGTGCCTCGCGTACTTGCGCGCCGTCGAGCTGTGAACAGCGTCTCTTCACACCGCCTGC